ACATCTAAGGAATGATTTTGAGTAACCTCACAGTTTATGCAGACCAGCGGGATTCAGACTGAGGCCGAGCCACAGGCTAACAACTTCTGTTTGAAGGACATGGAAGGAGCATCAGTGTCCTCGAGAGTCCATTACCCAATGGTGGTGACACATAAAATACACACAACAAATTCTCATTTTGCCCCTGTGTACTGGATCCCAGTTAGACTGACTGTTTAGTTTTGTAGTGGAACTGGATACCCTTTCATTTGGCAAATGACACTAGACTTTGTCAGGTAAGTGCAAAATGAAAACCAACCAGAGATGTGATACAGTACGACTAACAGTCTAAAAATGGTATAGATTCACTTTTCATGTTATTCTTCCTGGAACTTGAATGTGCTCAGATTGTGACCGTGTACAATTTTAGGCGTGAGTGTGACTCGAAAAGAATAAAGGTCATCAAAAACATCAAAACATTCATCCTCGATGGACCATAAATACCCACAGCGAACAAATTATGGTTCTAGACAAAACGTCAGGATGCCACTAAAATAATCTTCAGAGTTAAGTGAAAATATTCACACTAAATCTCACGACAATCTGACCAGACATTGTGGAAATATCTTCCTCCAGACCGACATTGGGGAGCAGCGATCCCTCCATGTACTATGCGACTATTACAATGTCAGATTGTAGGGTTTGTGGTGGTGTGTTAAATGATTGCTACTGCAATAATAAACACCAAGACAAAATACAATATTGCTATCTATATAGCACAATTGGTGAGTGAGGTAGGGTTAGGGTTAAATTTGTCCAGCGATCAAATTTACGCAGATGATGCAAGGTGACAATTTGCTTTGCTTTCTATCTGAACGCCCTTAAGGGTTTGTTCACATAGCCATTAGTTTGGTTGATGAGCTGCTGAACTGTTGTACAGCTAATTTACAAGTGTTTCTGTTTTATTAATGCAAAATGTTTTAATATTGCAAACCCAGAAATATCATTTAATTAGCAGGCCTAGGGTCTTTGAGTTAAATCTGATGAAAAAAAAACAAGTTTAAATCAATTTGCCCAATCCTAATTCTCTTCTCTTCATCTCCACCATTCTGTATGGTTCTCTCAGACCTTACAGATCTTGCTGGTGTTGCAGGGTTTAATGTGCTTTTTTAATTCAGGCATTATCCTTTGTAAAAATAAAGAAATCTCATTTTACTTGAATCATTGAAGCCACACAGCATCTGATTTAATCTGTAATGCACTGAAATAACCATTCAGTGTCTTCTCTGTGTGCCCAACAGACAGTCCCACATGGCCTCTACAGACCCCTGAGATCACCGTCACAGTCCTGGTTACCAGATATCTTCAGGCTGCATGAGCTCTTGGCAAAAACCATGAAATTCATGGCATGTGTCTAAACCATTAAATAATAATGTAGTTGGTCTTGGCATGCAGCTCCATTCCCAGGGCACATTTGGAAAAATGTGTACATGTACAACTAGAAGTTTGATATGATTTTGAAGAGAAAATCGTTCCATGAATCTTCATCTTGTGATGTTTTAAAACTCAATAATGCCACTATCTGTCCTAAACACAGAAGCATAGCACACACCCTCCAGTTCCCCGTCAGGTAAACACTGTTAGCTGTTTCAGCACGTTTGCTGTAGGTTGTACTGTTAGTTACATGCCACCTGCTCAGCCATCGCCATGTCGAGAGCCGCTGAGAGGCAATCAAAATGCTCCCAATCTCATATTATGCACTTTTTACTGGACAGATCCAAATCAGAAAATTAAGCATTTTCTCAATATGGATTCTGTAACAATCAGACAGTTTGTGTGATTTGTGTTATTGCCACAGACACAATGTCGGCGTATCATACTTAATATGCACTTGACTTGCAAACTTGGCTCCACAGGCACTAATGACAGGTGTTTTAGATACTGTTGTGGCACAAATAAATAAAAAAAGCGTTCAACGACACAAGGCACCAAGTCAGAGTACAGTAGCCTAATTAAATTTGTCCTCTATGATAATCTGCACCATCACTATTGCAATTAAAACCATACTGTGCTATATACTCATTATCCCATGATTAGAATAATGAGTCATTAACGCTGCTGGATAGTGAATTTGAGCCCCATCAGGAAAATTAATGGTCCCACCAAACTGACTAATGAACTTCTGTCTCGTCAAACATGTTGAATATCTTCATCATATTATAACAAAAATAAGGACTTGTTTTTTCTTTCTCTCTCCATCCCCACAGAACACAGAGTTGTAGGTAGGCATGGGGCGATATGAAGATCTCCTGTCACGATTGTCCTGGCCAAAATAATTGCGGTTTACAATATTATTCCGATAATCATCAAAATATGCTTAAAAAACTTAAAATGGCACGAAGACATATACGGAAATCACTTTACATTTTGTTGAATCCTTTTAAGTGGAAAAACTAGCAATCAAACTAAATAAACTGCAGACAGCTTTTCCAAATCACTCACATGATTGTAATGATTGTCCCGATGATGGAAATTCAACACGGTCTAGTTTTTTTTACTTAGAATTAACTTTATTATACTTCATGTGCAATCAAATAAGATAATCATTTAAACAGCTTCATGTTCAGCTCCATTAGGTTATTTCATACAACTATTATTTTTTTGCAATTTAAAGCAATTCTGTGGTGTTTTTAACCTCTGATATATAATAAATATTTTGTATGTGTGTTGGTGGTAGAATGCATTTTATTATGAAAATGCACAGTAGGGCTTTGCACAAACACAAATAGGATTTTAGTCAAGTTTAGACTTTTGTTTGACTCTTTTAAAAAGGGACTAAAGAGGTTAGATGTCACAACTCAAGCCAGCCTGTGTCACACATTGTGATTATATATTCATTATAATCACAACCCATTTTCAGTATTTCTCTTTTAAATTAACATGTTAACATTTTACAGCATTTGTTAGTTGACAGTAGAGGGCAACAGGAGGGGGAACAGTGGGCTGATGAGTCAACTGAAAGGGAAAGGACAACGTGCCCCAAATACTGGAATAAATTATTTTACAATGTCATAATGAATGCATTTGGTTATGTTATACATCTTTGTTGAAAATTCACTTTTAACCCGTTTTATTGTTCGGTCCTGAATATTTTATCGAGTCTATTTTTAATAAATTGTTTTACATTTTTCTACCAAATGTTTATGCATTAACTGTCTTGTGTCTTGTTGTAATCCCTGCTTAGCTTCATCTTACTAGTTCTCTTTTTCACGTTTTCTATTGCGTTTTGGAATATTATATTTTTTAAAAGAGCTAAATAAACATTTCGATCTACGGCCAGACTCGAACCAACCACGTAACGCTCACACCACCGGACGCAGTTCATTTCCAATTGTGAACACGCAATTACCTAAACTAATCACAGTGTCGTTCTATATGTGCATCACGTGGTATTGTCCATGGAAACAGATCTCGTAATATGTGTTATTACTCTAATGTAATCTCTGCTGCGCTACATAGCATTTTATGTCGACGAGCTATCAACAAAAGAATAGAAAAATATCAATCTCAAAGCTGAGGAATAAATGTTATTCTAGGATTTTTACACATCATTAAATCTCTTGCATGTTATACTGAACAGAGAATAAGATTTCTATACATATGCCGTCACTGCAGCCTCCAAACGCAGCTCTTGACGAGGGGTGGAGGGGTGGGGACAGCTGCAGCATGGCCACCAGGCAATACGCTACAGTTATCTCCTCTCCAACTGTTTCCCTTTGATCTCTCTAATCTGCCATTTAAAGAACGCATCTAGAGCTGGCACACAGAGACACTTCTTAGTAGTTTCTATCCAGGCACACACGGCGCAGTGTGTATGTGTCCATAAGCCACTGAAGTATATAATGTATACACATAATTTAAACCTGCGCCATATGTTAACTCTATGAGATGGGAAATGGCACTTCTTTCTCATCCTCATCATGTAATGACTACAATAATGTCTGCCTCAGTGTTCATCCAAAATGAAAAACACAAACCTTTGTCTAAGGCTGCAAATAACAATTGATTTCACTACGGATTAATCTGCTTATTATTTTCTTGATCAATTGTTTTCTTTATAAAATATTGACAACTGCCCATCACAACGCATCACAGCCAGGGTGAAATGTTTAAATTGTTATGTCCAATCAACAGTCCAAACCCCTCAGACAATCAATTGTAAGCGATATAAAACATATACAGGCAGAACATCTGCTACCTTTAGTGTTTTGGCTTTAAAAGTGACTGAAATGATTAATAGATTATCAAAATAGATTGCTGATTATTCATCTCAGTTCTACCATATCTACCACACATCCATATTGAACTCTTGTTTACTCTTTCATTTGCATCCACTTATCTAGAGGTCAAACTATGAACTGGTGATGTACCAACGTGTGCTGGGAAAATAAATGTGGTTAAAGTAGTTCTGAATTTAAAAAACTCTGAATGCAAACAGCATATTGCTCCTTTGCAGAAAAAAAGAAAAAGAAAAATCCCCACACTGCCTTTATCTTTAACAGGTTCCAATTATGCAAGCTAATCTGGGCATATTTCCCTTGGGAGGCAAAGACATAATTGCCAGCAATCTGCGCAGTGATATCAACGCGGCTCTTGTGTGGCTTTAAAATGACTCGACACATCTGGGAGCCACCGTGTTGTATTGGTCTGAACTCCACACTTGGCTTCATCAAAAGGGGGTCAATTAGAAAAACAAACAGGCGAGGGACTCATTGTGGATGCAGAGGGACTGAATGAGGGCAGATGGTATAGGCAGGAGACTGAGCCTGCCCTTGAGCAACGATGTGAAGACACTGTTGTAAGCCACACATTGACGGGGGAGCACTCGCATGCATTTACGCAGATCGATGCACAAAAACAACACATCAAGACGGATAAAACCTCAGCTACTTGTTAGACTATTGTATTCCCATGAATAAGTGGTACTGACACATATCATAAGAGTAAACAAATGGTCTTACCGAACACCATCTCCACGTGTTTTCTGATTCCTCTGCTCGCCACTTTCTTCTGTATTTGACTTAAGCGCCTGCTGCCAGTTTATCTCCCATCAGAGAAGTTGAGCAAAAAACAAAACCCCCCAAAAAAGTGCCTCCTCGCAGATAACCTTCTCCGTCTATCTGTCCTCCCCTTTGATTCTCTGACTGAGTTGAGCTCCTTTCTCGGTCAACCACACATCTTTTGGCCGTGAGCCAAACTGCCGCAGCTAAAGAACGAACACACATATGTGCTTCAATTAAAAAGCCTCGCGCTCCGCTGATCACGCCGCCCTTAATGAGACGAAGGAGAGAAACGGCAGCGGGGCGGATTGAGAAACAGCGGAGAAGGAAAAGAGGCTGTGAGTGGGATGGTGAGAGTCTGTAGAGCAAGTGTGTATTCTTCTGTGTGCATCAGTATGTAACAGAGAGTGAGTGAGGAAGAGGGGGGGGAGAGAGAGAGAGAGAGCGAGAGAGAGAGAGAAAGAGAGATCGCTGGCATGGGACTGGCTATCAACAACATGAACATCCCACCTCTCTCCCCATTCTTCTTCTTCCCAGCACCAATTTCTATTCAGGGTTCACACCTGCATGCTTCCTTTAGGACATTCAAATGTAATTTCCTTCCTGCCATTACTTGACAACAATAGGCGTCATTTATCAGTTTATCGGTTTCTGTTCTGCTTAAAATTGCAGCTGTGCTACGTTGTTCCCCAAAGTTATCAACATCATGGGCACAACGCTAAAACATTTAAAAGCTTTCAAACCACATCCAAATGATACACCTTATACGCTTACATCAGATACTGCAGTCTGGTCTTTGTGCTGACTGATTGCAAGCTCGTACTTGATTAGAATACATTATTTCTACGCTCCTGTTTACATTTCCAATAGGTTGAGTGTGCAGAGCTTTCAATCAAAATACCTGAGTCAATCATGCAGCACATAGTCATTATTTTTGCCACCAACGCTTCAGTGTAAATGATATATAATCACCATCATAATTAAACAGCATTTGATTAGGGTTCAGCCAAAGTAAGCAGTGGAGTAATATTTTATTTGCTCGAGTTTTTGTGTTGTGAAAGTTAACCCGCTACTGCTAGTCATTTAATTTCAACCCCAGTTTCTCATTCAAACATTTTTACATGTCATTTCTGATGATAATCACATGAGTGGCTGAAATGGCTCAAATGTTGCGTTCTGATGTGTAACAGTAGCACAAGTAGAGAAGAGTCAGCAAACAGTTGGGCAACATTTTAATCTAATCTAAGGTTTCTCATTCAGTGAACAAGATTTAACATAATTCAATGTTATTTTAGCTCCACGTAAAGTGAAGGAACGTGATGTTTTCCAGATAATGCTCGTCTGCCTTAAAGATGTGGTTAACATCAGTGCTCTACTGAGTGAAACGCTGAATTTATCCTTAAATTAACTTGTTGGAAAACTGCATTAATCTCTAATGAAGCATTATTAATGGTTTAAAGATGTATTCTATTTTGCTATTTATTCTTAAACTGTGATTTGTTGCATCAAGTTCAGTTAGGCTACTTATACCACACAAGTATCTAATGGTAAAGTATAGGGTCGCTAATAGTGAGGGCAGTTATGTCTCACCACTCATGCAACACACAGAAATCACACATTCATAATATTGAAAGAATTATATTCGTCTTTAACCAGGAATTATGTATATTTGCCATCCATGATGGACAGTATATTGCAAAAAGTAATTCATTTGAAAAAAATAAGGTGTAGCCATGCAAATATATTATCTTTCTTATAATGAAAGCATAACTCATTTGCATCCATCTTTTAGATACATTATCAGTAGATGTCAATCTTCCAATGCTTCCATGCAAAAGAGGGTTATCACTCTGTAACGAGTTACAAAAATATAAATTGTAGCTTAACATATTGATAGGACAGCTTGTTCCCCACTCAACGCTAATTTAAAACTATTTGAGATCAAGCAACCGACAGCGTGCAACTCCATCAGAGTGTTTATTTTAATGAGCAGGTGGGAGAGATTATTGTTCACCTAATAGCTCGCTCATTTTGCGGACTGATCTTTGGATGATTACTGTATTGACACACTGCAGAGCAGAGTTTGATTCTGCGGTGAATATCAAACTCTTTTGTGTGATATATGCAGATTAAGATTAAATATGCATGGGGGTGCTCTCGTGGCATAAAGTACAAATTTAACTGAGTAAAGGATCGGAGAACTTCTTAGAGTTTGTGACCAGTTTTCTGTTGTTATGTTCCTAAATATCAAAAGTATGAATTAACCTTAAGATTCACTGCTTACTGCTTTTAATTGCTGAAGAAGAGGATAGTTTCCCTGCATCCGAGAACTCGACTCATTCCAGAAGCACATAGTTGGATATTTGTAAAGGCAACACGGAGACTTGAACGCACCGCTGGGGAGGTCAGGCCCTCAATGCATTGTTATTCATTCCACCGTCACTATAATCACCTCAAATAAACACAATTATTCTCATAGACTGTGCCCTGAAACCCTATCCTCAAATGTCATATACAAGTGTCGTCAACACACACATTGGCACACACACACACACACACACACAGACAAACACACGCACACACACGCTGCTTGTGTCTGCCCTGTGCGCTCCTTGCTGGCTCCTTGTCCACTTGAATACGTGTGGTGTGGAAGCACAACACTGACGAATCCTGACAGTTATACACTTGATTTCAGCCGGCTGCATTCAAATGCTTGTGCAGGGAGACGGCCTCGAGCAGAACGATTGCGTGTCGGCTACACACTGCATGCCTTCATCTAGCTGTGGACTTACTAAACATGCATACTTCTATTTACCTATATGGACTCTGTAGGTGTGTTTGATTGACATGCCGCGTTACTTATGGAAATCACTGACTTGGTAAAGGGAGACAGAAACTCAGAGGGAGATGATTTACAAAGCCTTTTTGCTCTAAATCCAATTCCCCTCCCAAAACTTTTTTTTTCTGTATTATAACAGTATCGCAGCCCATTGCATACATGCGTATAGTTTTTGTACTACACCACTACTATTCCTAAGAAATTAAAGACAGACTTATCTCGAAAAGTGGCTATTTTACTACAAAGATGACTCCAATATTCAGATTTTGCTTCATATGCAGGATATTCTTCTCACAAACACAACTCACAGGCACTGCCACCTAAAATACCAAAAAGGAACTTTTTATATGTTTTATTTGGGTCTAGAATTCAGATTTTAGCTCTCTGGGTAATTTCTCAGACTTTCACTGACCTGTAGATGACACATCCAGTCCCTGAGGGTTTTGGTGCCATCAATGGCAACAGCTAAGTCAAAATACTGGGAAATGTCGAGCAAGCCTACACCCCCCCCCCTTTATTCTGTCTCTCCGTCTCCAGCTCCACTCCTTCCTGCAGACCTTCAGTCTGTGCAGAATGTCCATCGATGACAAATTAAGTGACGTCTTAAAAATGGCTGCTTTTTGCTCAGCAGACTTTGCTGTATGAAATGAGGCCAAGCAGCAAAAAACCTCCAGCTGATAAATGTCCTATTTCAAAGCTCACACAGTATGTTTCAGCATGTATTTACTGTATGTTGGTATACAGGAGAAGGAATAAAAAGCATTACGCAAAGTAAGTCTGCAGTGGAGCTCTTGAGAAATGTATAGATGTTCCATTAGTGAGGGGAAGCTTTGTTCCAGAAAGAAGAAAGGCTAAATGTTCCCTTTCAGTGGGAAGATTGTTATAAAGGGTGCAGGAACTGTTGCAGGTCACCTCTCTCACGGACATCATTTTCAGGTTTGATTTAGGATGCGTGTTTGAACAGTCTAAATTTGACAAAATCAAATGGAAGAAGACTGGAACTCCAAGTACAGTCACATTATACGCTGAAACTTAGTGGTGCGTGCACAGCGCGTATATATACACTCCTAAAAATAGCCAAAGATACATATCAGTGCATATCTTGCAGGGTAAGCCTGCTGGCAATGATGTTACAGTCATGTAATCTGTGGTGTTAACTGCGCACAATAACCTTTTGTTCCCTGACTTTATCCTTTAAGGTTGTACCTCCTCCCAGGCAGCATAAATACCCCCGTAAAACAGCACCCAGCATTGTGAGCAGTGCCGTCTTTAGGACAGTGTTGTAGGCGTGACATTGAGATTGGCCATTTCCTGGGACTCGAAGGTAAACGCAGAAATTAAGGGCAAATGTTTTTTGTTCTTTTTTTAAACCAACAGATTGCCATTAGATTAACATAAAGGTGTGCATCTCTGAAAGGGGCCATTATCTTTAGCTGCACGCTGAATTGAGCAAATTTAACTTAAATGCACTTAACATCTGGTGCCCACTATGTGCCTGTACCTCTACACAAACACACATCATACAGAAAAGTTGAAAACCGTAACTTCTGAACTGAAACGACTCCAGTGGTTCAGCAGCTTAGTGCTAAGTGCAGGAAAGGGAAACTGCTCCGGTCCGATCTCTTTTCAAAAAGGCCCCCAGTGAAAAGCAGCCTATTAAAATCGCTTTTCATTTTAGCAATCACTTCATGCGACTAAATAAAGGCAATGCTAGTTCAGCTGTGGGGAGGGACCGGGTATTATTAGGCTGGTTTCATCGCGGCACAGACTGAATTGAGAGAATGGCGTGCGAGACATTGTTTTAAAACATGCCATTTGTGTGTCCTATTTATTCTCAAGGTTTAGCAAAAGATATGTCTGGCTGCCATTTTCATATGCCAATTATATATATTAATAATAATATTTTAAAAATACATATGTTGCAGGTTCAAATATGACAAAGGAGTACAGAACACTGTAAATTAGTCGGTCTCTGTCTTTAGAAGGATAATTTACAGGCTATTTTTCTGCCTATGGTCTAGTTGCATTTTTGCTCCACATAAAACTATTTCACGGCTATTTTTAGGACCGGCAGTTGTTTGACTGTGGTATTGTCAATTTCACAACAACCCCAAACAAAAGGGGTTAAACACTGTAGGGTTCATTTCACCAGTTCAAACACGGCCGGTGTGAAATCAATCCGTCCCCCGCGTGAGGAAACGAGAGGCCCTTCACCCTGAGGGACCGACACAAGCTGCCCGTGAGTGAGTCTCATCTTAACTATCAATTATTGGATGAGATAGCTCTGACATGTGTGGCCTGCAGCAGGTCGGGTGTTTAAACGCTGTCGGTGCTGATGCTGTTGATGTCTAATCTCTCAACCCAGGTGCATTGTGAAAGGCATGCAATGACGAACAATGAACAATGGATGTTTGCAATGCCCTCCACCAAAATGGAAAAAAAAAATGTCAAAAAGGTTTCTGCATATTAAAGAGTGTTTATTATAGTAGGGAAGTATTTCCTAAACAATCCACCCCCCCCTTGTTTTAGAGAAATGTGTCTGTAAGGGCATCATTTTTATCTGAGAGAACAAATGGCTCCCTGCTGTCACATTCACAC